GGTCACTGTCCCTGTGCTCTGTGTCACCTCCCAGCCCTGGAGCTGCTCCCTGTCCCCAGTGCTGGACATTGGGTGCCAGCCCAAGTCCTGCCTTCGGGAGCTGCCCTGGGCAGGGGTGACATTGGCACAGCTCTGGTGGCCCTGGCACCGCTGGCTGCCCCCAGGACTCAGGTAAAGGCTGAGAGGCAGCTCTGCCTCCCCACACTCGCTGTGTGCAGGATGTCTAGACACAAACTGTGGGATTTCCTTGGGAAGCAAGAGGAGAATGAGCCCTGCCAGCCTCCCGAGGTGTTGTTTGTGTTGTGTGGCAGCAGTAATGGCCTGGAAATAGCTGCCAGCATGGCTGGAACCTCCTCAGCCACCCAGCTGGTGCTGAGCCCTACTGGGGCAGGCTAATTCCTGCCTGAAAGGCCTTTTTCTAATGGCAAAATTGAATCTGTCAACAGGTAATTCCATAAAGCCAGACAGAAGCAATCCTGTGCAGGAATCAGCTCAGAGCAAGTGCCTCCCTGATGATGGCATTTATTTTTATTTTTCCTTCATTTCCTGCTACAGGAGATGGCAGATGTTTCAGCCTTGAAACAGAAATTAAAACTGTGACCTTGGACTTCCTAATGGTTCTGTGTGATGCACGCAGGAGTCGCCTGGGGCTGGGCACAGCCTGGGGATGGCACAGGGAAGGAGGTGGGCACTGGGCAGTGATGTGCTGTGGGATGCCTGGCAAGGTGTGGGGGATGGCCTTGCCTGGGTGTCCCTGTGCCTCCAGGACCCAATGGGGCTCCAGGAGAGCTGGAGAGGGACTGGGGACAAGGACATGGAATGACAGGACACAGGGAACAGCTTTAAGCTGAAGGATGATAGACTTAGATGGGATATTGTGGAGAAATCCTTCCCTGTGAGGGTGGGCAGGCCCTGGCACAGGGTGCCCAGAGCAGCTGTGGCTGCCCCTGGATCCCTGGCAGTGCCCAAGGCCAGGCTGGACAGGGCTGGGAGCAGCCTGGGACAGTGGGAGGTGTCCCTGCCACGGCAGGGGTGGCACTGGATGGGATTTAAGGTCCTTTCCAACCCAAACCATTCTGTTATCTGGGATGTCCTCAGTTTCCCCCACACAACAGCTGCCCCTGTTTGCTGCCTGGTGTGTCAGCACAGACTGGTTTAGGAGCTCAGGGTGATCCCAGCTCTCCCTGAGGGGGCTTCAGCCAAGGGGGAGAGTAGGAGCATGAAGTGGAAATGGCACCAAAATGCCCTTTCTGGGCCAAGCCTTGGCACTGGAGTGTTAATCACACGGGTGCCAGCCTGAGAGGAAGAGCCCGAGCAGAGGGGCTGGGCCCAGGGAATGCTGTGCTGAGGCTCCCAGAGGGACCCTGGATCACCACTGGGAACACTGGGAGCCACTGGGAACATCAGCCTGGTCACAGGTTTAGCTCCCTCCTTGGACACAGCAGGGCTTGTGCTTCAGTGTCACCCCAGAGCCATGTGTGGGCTGTGGGGCCAGGCTGGCAGGAGTGTGACAATGGGACAGCCAGCAGGGCAGGGCCACCCCTCCTGTCACCACCCCTGACTGTGCCATCACTGGAGACACAGACCCTTGGGAAGGAGAGTGCAAATTGTCCCCTGTGGTCCCCGAGCCCTTGGCATGGAGTGGCCCAGCCTTTGCTTCCTCCTGGCATCAGCCTGTCCCTGCCTTGCTCCTTTGGTGCCTTAGGGTTTGAGCTTTTATATATTCCATATGTTTGTAACCCTGCAGTTCTTTAGTGGATAGCTCCACACTCCACACACAGTGTGAGCTGCTGCTTTCCCGTTTTGGGCAGACACAGCAATTCCTCTCCAGGCCTGGCAATCAAGGACACCTCACTGCCCCAGGCCCCAGAGATGGAAACAAAAGTGAGTTGGGGGGAGCAAACTTGGGGTCAATGACTTCATTAGCTGAAGATGTAATTGGCAGATTAACCCCCAATATGCAAATGGACCAAACTTATAAAAGTGTGAAACCCGTGACCCATTGTCCATTTTGGGTGTAGGCCCTGGGGGCTTTGTCTGCCCTAAATGTACCTGAATGCTCTTCAATAAATATACCTGCTTTTTATTGCCTTCATTCTGTCTGGCCTCTGTTTTTAGGTAGTCCCAAAGGCCTCACCTTCCCTCCCCAGGCTGACCCCAGCACTGTCTCCCTTCCCCAGCCATTCCCAAAATCCGCAGTGAGTCCCTGAGCTGGCTGCTCCCTGCTCTCTGCCATGCTGTTCCTGGCAGCTCCTGCTGCAGGGTTCATCCAGGGAGCTGCAGCTATTAGCTGATTAAGAGATGCAATTAAGCCCTGAGCTACCCAGCTTTCTGGGCTGCCAGCAGGTTTGCACACACAGCTAGTGTTTGCTGGTTTTTGTGCTTCCAGGATTTCTGTATCTGTGCCTTTCCTGCCTCTGGAAGTGCAAGTTTGCTCAGTGCAGGGCAAACAATCCTCTGACACCCCTTGGAGGTATTTATATGGATTGATGGGATCCCCTCTCAGACCTCTCTTCTCCCACAGTCTCCTCATCAGAAAGTCCCTCTCACCTGATGCCTTCAGATTTTTGCCTTTATATTTTTCAAACCCTGCACTGCATTAGTGCATGACTCTAAACTCCATATGAAGTGTTAATTAATTGTCTCCACATTTTGGTCAGACAAAACAGAGCAGCTCACGTGGCAGCACCTCCTGAGCAGAGGGACAGGGGGTATCTCTTACTCCACCTGATGCTCTCCCCAGGTGGAGGGAGCAGCTTCTCAGCTTACCAGGATAGAGTTAAAGGGAAATGGAAATGTCTGCCTGCAGAGCTGCCCCTCCTGGAGCTAACCCCAGCACACAGAAATGTCATTCAGGGACTGTCAGAGGGAATTTTGGCATTCCCAGTCTGTTCTGATGTGATCTGTGATTCCAGGCACCTTGCTGCATTTCTCCGACTTGTATTTTTTTTCCCAAACTTGGGGATTTTTTGAGAGGCACAGCCATGGTGGGGTGAAAAACTTATTTTAGGGAAATCCTAAACATCATCAGACAGATGGGGAGGTAACAGCACTTCAGAAAAGTTGAATCTTTTCCTAATTTTCAAATACACTCAACCAAGTGTTGTGTGATCCAGAGCAAGGTTTCTCTGTGAAGAGAAAACCAAAGTACCCTTGGATGTGACAGGCAGCTGCTCCTTTGGGTGGGTTCAGTGCCCAGCTCATCTCCAGCCTGGAGCATGAAGGTCTCTATAATTCCTTTATAATCCTTCCATGCTAAAATTGTTTCCAGCACTTTCTGCCCTTTAAAGCAGGGAAAGGAAACCCAGGGAACATCAGGTTTTTCCACAGAAGGATGCTGGTACAGGTAGTTGATGTTTTACAAATCTTATTCCAGCTTTGCATCCATTTATCTAAATCTAAAATTTGGAGCCTTAGGTGGATTTGTGTCCTGCTGCTGATTTCTGTGTTTCTATCACCAAGACAGAAAATGGGTTTTCAATACCAGCCACTCTAAGGCTGGCCTGAATTCCTTCTGTGATGCCGTGTCCTCTAGAAAGATGGATTAATTACCAACTTGAAGCTGAGAGTTATTTTTCCATCCAGGTAAATGTGCAAGATTTTGATTTGACTGCAGCGAAGGGGTTTAAATATAAAAGCCCTTCACAAACAGCTTGTTTCTGGTGTTTTCTATCAGTGTGAAACACATTTTGGCTTTTCTCATTTGTTTTTATTCCTGCTGTCTGCTTTTCTCCAGAAGTGACTCAAAACTTGGGAGCAAAGCAAAAAAATAACCCTGGAATTACTCATTTAAAAAGTGTCATGCAGAGAGTGAACAAAGGCCAATTTAAATGCAGAGTCCTTGAGGGAGCTGAGCACAGGATCGCTCTGCACTCCAAATTCCCACCTGAACACCCAGATATTGGCAGGCCCTGTGAGGAGGAGAGTGTGGATGAAGGCAGGTGGAAGCTGGGTTTGCAAATCAGCATTTGGTGGGGACAATATCTGCCCAGGTGCTGCCTGGCAGGTTGTGGGAAATAGGAAATGGCTTCTGCAATATGTGCTGGATCGATGGAAAGGTTGTCCAGGTGTTGTTAATTGGAGATAATCAGGCACATGATTACCCCTGAGGGGTTTGTCCTGTGGGGAGTGCCTGCAGTGGCCCTGCACAGTCAGCTCTGCACAGGGAAGGGCAGAGGCTGGAGCTGGGCTCTTGCCAGGCTGGGTGGAGGGGGACTGTGGCATTCACACTCTCTGACAAAATCCCTTCACCCAGGATTTTTCTCATGGGAAGCTGAGAGGCCTCAGAGAAAAAGGAAAGCAATTCTTATTTGCTTCTCCTGTGTTGTGCTCATGTGGAATGTGTTTGCAGATTGTTTACCCACAGCTGATTGTTTCATTGGGCTCTGCTGTGAGTTGTTTTCACTCTTTGGCCAGTCAGGGCCAAGCTGTGTCAGGACTCTGGAGAGAGTCACCAGTTTTCATTATTATCTTTTTAGCCTTCTCTAAGTATCCTTTCTGTATTCTTTAGTATAGTTTAGTATTCTTTAATATAATATAGTATCATAAAATAATAAATTAGCTTTCTGAGAACATGGAGTCAGATTCATCATTCCTGCCTTTGTTGGGGCATTCCCAACAAATCCAATAGGGGATCATGGCTCTGTTTGCTCAGGCAGCAATGCCAGAGGGGGAATTCACAGCCAGTGCTGCCTGGCACCACCCCACTGCTGCTCCTGGGGTTTTGGGGGTTGTTCTCAGGTCTCTACATCAGGAATGCACCTGTAAAAGGAGAAAGTGGAAAACTGCTGTGGATCAGCTGATTTGTGGCTGAAAATCCACCCACACTGCTGCTCCTCATGTAGCTGAACCTCTCAGCCTCCAGAGCTTTTCCTCCTGGTTCCCACTGTCTCCTCAATCCCACAGGAGCTGCTCTCCAGCCCAGCTCTGTGGCTGTGGCCCACCTCTGCTTTGGGCAGCACTTGGACACCACATCAATGTCTCTCCCTGTTCCCCTGCAGGTGAATCTGGTCCTGAACGAAGGGAAATCCCTGGGCCTCATGATCCGAGGAGGGGCAGAATATTCCCTGGGCATCTACATCACAGGTGTGGACAAGGGCTCCGAGGCAGAGAGCACTGGCTTGAAGGTGAGAGTGATCCCAGAGAAGGGTGGCAGGTGACCAGGAACGTGTCCAGGTGGGGTTGGGATGTCTCTGGAGAAGGAGACTCCACCTCATCCCTGGGCAGCTCTTCCAGAGCTCTGCCACCCTCAGGGAAAGAATTTCTTCCTCATGTTGATGTGGAACTTGTTCTGTTCTAATTTATTGCTCCTCATCCTGTCACTGAAAAGCCTCTAGCACCGTCCTCTGACACCCCTTGGAGGTATTTCTATGGATTGATGGGATCCCCTATCAGATCTCTCATCTCCAGACAAATCAGCCCCCAGAGTCTCCTCATCAGAAAGTCCCTCTCACCTGATGCCTTCAGGTTTTCACCTTTACATTTTTCAAACCCTGTGCTGCATTAGTGCATGACTCTAAACTCCATATAAAGTGTTAGTTAATTGTTGTCAAATTTTGAGCAGACAAAACAATTCCTCCAGGCCTGAAGCTCAAGGACACCTCACTGCCTCAGGCCCCAAAAAGTACAAACAAAAGTCACCTGCGGGGGGGGTGGGAACATACTGGGGGTAAATTACTTCATTACCTGAAGCTGTAATTGGAGAATTAACCCCTGATATGTAAATGGACTGAATTTATATCTGTCTGAAAAACTCATGACCATTGTCCAGCTTGGGTGCAGCCTGTTGGAGGCCTTTAATAAGTGCATGGACTGAATTTATATCTGTCTGAAAAACTCATGACCATTGTCCAGCTTGGGTGCAGCCTCTGGGAGGCTTTGACTGCCCAAGGTGTAGCTGTTGGAGGCCTTTAATAAGTGTTTTTATTGTCTTTATCTGCTCTAGCCTCTGTTATAAGTAGCACTCCAAGGCATCACACCTCCCTGGGCTGGCAGGGAAGAGTTTTCCACTGAAGATCCTGCTCCTGTGCCCTCTTCCTGCACCTCTCACCCAAAGCCCCTGGGGTGCTGTGCACCAGGTGCTCCCAGCTGCCTGCAGGGCAGCATTTTAGGGGCCAGCTCTCAGCTGGGGTGTGCTGGCTCCTCCTGGCAGTCCCAGGATCCTGAGTTAACCAGCAGGATCAGCCTCAGGTAGTGATGCCTCAAGAACCTATAAATGAAACACACTTTGAGATAATGGTAGAACAGGAGGTGATGGAAAAGCTGGTCTTTATTGGAGGCCTCTAGAGGTGAATGTGGAAAATGTCCACAAAAGCCCCTCCCCCAGGGGGTGAACACAGTTTTTAGAAATTTAGTAAATTAGCATAATTGACAAAATCACCAACTAGGAGCACAAGTGGTGATGCAATCCCCCCCCAGTTCAAGCCCCTTCTAAATCCTCCCGCCTCAGATGGAGCTGAACGTTGATGATGAAAATGCATCTCAAAGAGTTTTTTTTTTTGGCCTTGGTTCCCAGGGAGAACCAAGATGGGGTAGGGGCTTTGGAATGTGTTTTGTCTTTCTGCTTGGGGAAAAGGTAGGGAAAAGCACTGGGAAAACCAAGTAGGAATGCAGCAATAGGCTACAGAGCTCCAAATATGTGTGTAAAGAATACAGAGAATTCAGAAAAGAAAAAAGGCAATAATCATTAGGCAGCAATAGAGCAGGGCTGATCCACCAGGCTGGCTCAGTGACCTTGGTGCACCCACTCTCAAACAGGGTCCTGAGGGGTGCTCTGGGGTTGGGCTGGGCCCTTCTGAGGCTGCCCTGGGCACAGTTGGCAGCAGAGCTTTGTGAAGGGAGATCTACACCTCTGTCAGCCCCCCACGTGCACACACATCGCCTCTGAGCTGCTCCAGGCTGCCCTGCAGATCCCAGGCTGCTCCCGTGGCTCACCCCAGCTGGAAGGGACATTTGGGGTTGGCACTCTGTGTGCTCACCAGTGGAACCAGCTGGAAAGGGAGCAGCTGGATGTGTCTCTGTGCCAGGCAGGAATGGGGCACGCTTGACACTCAGCCTCCTCAGGCTGGATCATTTTACTGCAGCCACAGTTTCTTTTCTGGCGTGTTTTTCCCTCTAAATGACCCAATTCCCTGCAATGACCTCCAATCACTTCCTCCAGTCTCATGGGCTCTGAGGGTCAGTTTTTTTCCCTATTCCTTATAGCACTTGAGATGTTAAACCCAGAAATGTCCTCTCAATCCTCTGGGGTTTTGGGGGTGTTTTTTTTGGTTTTTGGGTTTTTGGTTTTTTTTGGTTTTTGGTTTTTTTTTGTTTTTTTTTTTTTTGTTTTTTTTGTTTTTTTTTTTTTGAGAGGTGATCTGCTCTCATCCCCTCTGGGTTTGTGCAGTGAGACATTTCTTGGACTCACTGACCCCAAAGGTCTTTTCCACCCTCAAGGGTGTCACAGACATATTTTATGAAAAATCTTTTTGTTAGGATTTTTTCTCTTGAGAAGCTGGGAAGCTTCAGCTTCTCCATGTTTTATTGTTTTAGAATGTGATTTGGAGGATTGTTTACTTAACATATGAAATTGTTTTTACTTGATGACCAATGACAGCTACTTGCGTTGAGGCTGTGAGTAGTCACAAGATTTTGTTATTCATTTTTTTTGTTGGTTTTTGGGTTTTTGTGTTTTTTTTGGTTTTTGGTTTTTTTTTGTTTTTTTTTTTTTTGTTTTTTTTGTTTTTTTTTTTTTGAGAGGTGATCTGCTCTCATCCCCTCTGGGTTTGTGCAGTGAGACATTTCTTGGACTCACTGACCCCAAAGGTCTTTTCCACCCTCAAGGGTGTCACAGACATATTTTATGAAAAATCTTTTTGTTAGGATTTTTTCTCTTGAGAAGCTGGGAAGCTTCAGCTTCTCCATGTTTTATTGTTTTAGAATGTGATTTGGAGGATTGTTTACTTAACATATGAAATTGTTTTTACTTGATGACCAATGACAGCTACTTGCGTTGAGGCTGTGAGTAGTCACAAAATTTTGTTATTCATTTTTTTACTTTCTTTTCTAGCTTCTGATAGATCCTTTCTCTCTATTCTTTTTAGTATAATTTTAGTATAGCATTTTAATATAATATAAAAAATCAACATTCTGAAACATAGAATCAAGATTCTCATCTCTTCCCTCATCCTGGGACCCTCAAACACAACCTTACAAAGGTTCTGTGAGTCTCTGATTTCCCCATTGCTCAGCCCTTGGCTGTTTAGGGCTAAGCCTCAGCTTTGCTCAGAGCCCCATGAAGGCACTTCCATCTGTCAAGGCTGGCAGCACGAGCTGGGGACAGTGTGGTGGAGAGGGTGGGACAGACACGATCCTGTCCCTTGAGTTGTTGTGGCTCTGAGGCCACCAGAGTTCCCTTTGAGCCAAGGAGACTTTTAGGGGTCATGGAGCCACTGCTGAGCTGTCCTGAGCACTGCAGGCTCCTGTTTCCCTGGGTCACAGAATCAAAATGCTGCACTTGGAGGTTTGGATCAATTTAATGAATCTTTCTCAAGTGCCCAGCAGGGAAATGGGCCCTGGGCCCTGGGGGGATCACTGGGGATGGCACAGGGAGCTGTAGGGGCATCCTGGAGATGGCAGAGTGCAGTCCAGGCTGCAGAAATGCTGCTGCAGAGCCCCAGAGTGCAGGCTGGCACCTCTGCCCACACCCCTGACTGGTCCCCAAGGATGTTGGTGGCTTCATCAGCAAGAAGGGCAGGATTTTGAGACAGGGACAAGAAGAGGCACAGGACAATTTGTTTGTAGAGGTGGAAGGGGAGGGACTGCCTGCCATGGGTGACACCAGCATGTTTTTCCCCTGTGCCACAGTCAGGATCCATCCCCTAAACCCCAGAAGGATGAAAGTTTAAAAACAGAATGAGAAAGAAGAAGCTGCATTGTTTTCCTTGGTGGTTTTTTTTCTGTTCCCTGGGTGTGCTGCACAGGAAAAATCTCTTTCTTCTGCATCCCCCTGTCAGGGAGCTCAGCAGAGGAGGTGTGACAGGGACAGTCCCAAAGGCAGAACTCCTGCCTGAATCCCTCCATGCCTGCTTGGAATGCCAGGAAATAACCACACACCAGAGCAGTGCCAGTTCCCTGCCCTGTGCCCCCGGGTCCTGCCACTGCTGTTTGCACACCTGAGCCTCTGCTTGTTGATTCTGGAGATCTCCCCCTCGCTGCTCTGCTCTCCAGGCAGTGATTTGTGTGTCCAGCAGGCTCGTGCTGTGCTGGATGTCAGGCTTGGTGTGATTTCAGATGCTCACAGCTGCTTCCCCCCTGATTTGTGTATGCTACATGCTGTAAATCCAGTGCTGCCTGGAGGTTTGGAGGTAAAAAAGGCCTTTTATGTCCTGTTGTTAGACATGGTCGGGTGTAGATTGCAGCTCCAGGTGGTGGTGGAAGGGACGTGATGCCACAAGGAAGTAAAAACTGGTGGATAAATGTGATTTCCAGGTAGAGTGTTGCTCTCTAAAATGGAAATATTGTGGGATTTCTCAATGTGGGCTCAACACAACCTGGCTGGGTTGATGGGAGGGTTGCTGCTGGCTTCCCAGGAGTGGATCCTTCTGTGGGCTTTGCTGCTTTCACTGAGGCTCTTACCAGAACTGAGCTGATGCCGAGGTGATGTTTAGATGAGAGACAAGGCAGAAATCCTTCCCTGGGAGGGTGGGCAGGCCCTGGCACAGGGTGCCCAGAGCAGCTGTGGCTGCCCCTGGATCCCTGGCAGTGCCCAAGGCCAGGCTGGACAGGGCTGGGAGCAGCCTGGGACAGTGGGAGGTGTCCCTGCCATGGCAGGGGTGGCACTGGATGGGATTTAAGGTCCCTTTTAACCCAAACCAATCTGTAATTTTGTCAGACATTTCATTTTTACCTCCTTGTATCTATGGCACCAAATCAGAATTTTGGACTCTTTAAGTAATAACTAAAATAAATAATTAATATTTTACACTTGCCTTAGATTTTGATGGAAGGACAAACAAAAGCTACTGAAAGCAAGGCAAAACCAAGGAAGTTTCTCTGAGGCCCAGAAACTTTTGCCAGCTTCAGAAACAAGGACCAAGGTCCTGAGATGAGGATCCCAGAGGAGCTGCAGCCCTGCTGGTGCTGG